TTCCTGTACTGTTGACGGGTGTCCTTCTCTCTTTGTAATGCTCTTTGTAGCACTCTTTATAACGCTCTTTGTAACGCTCTAAATTTCATTGTTGTAAACAGTACTAAACTGTGATATATCATATTGTAAATTGTTTTAAATTGTCCATTGTAATACTGTAATCTTTATGAACTAATTCAATAGTGTAATAATTCTCTACTAGACTTATCAAAGCCATGTATTATTACTATTATTATTATAATCAAGGGGTAAGCGCTAAACTCGGAGGATTATACAGCGCCTGGGGGAGAGGGATGTGGAAGGCATTCAGTCTTAATTCGGGGAACTGGAGCACAGATCCAATTCCCTAAACCAAGAGCCCCTCACCAACATCAAGGAACCTTCCTTGAGGGGTCAAAGCCATGTAGCATAACCTGATAGAATATTCAATTCTCCTGTACTCACTTTAACTTATCTAATGACAATATGAACTATTATTACCTTCCTAATCTTAAGTTAATCTCTAGGTTTTCCTGAAATGCTCTGCATACAAAGGTTTGTTTTTTGCATGTACACCCAACTATTATATTCCTTTGTACAACCATGTACAAATACATTTATGTCAAATTGACAAATCATGCTTAACTTAACTGACCAGTCCTTAATTGCATTAAATCGCCGCCATTATTTCCATAAATTTCTGTTCAGTTCACATTTTCTTCGTACTGTTTCAGATTCCCATTGGAATACCAGGCGCCCTGGTGGGTATGGCGTTCACAGGTTATATTCAGGGAATGAAGGACAGACTTCCATTGCCTTTAAGCGCCCTCACCGCGATGAAGGAACCTCCCTTGAGGCAAATAAATGGACGTAGTCAAGTCCCTTCAGCGTCGTTCATGGTCAATTGTGACTTCTGCCAAGACTAAAGGGTTGTAGGTCATCCGTTCGGTTCATGACATATGTATTTCAGAACTTAATGTTGTTGCTATCTAAACGAAATTGTGGTCAATGTGGATGCTGTATTCACACTAACCACCTTCACTGGACCCATTACCACCATCACTGCTACCATTACCACCATCACCTACCACCACCACTGCTTACCATCCACCATCCTTACACTAATTGTTCAGCCCCTGAGTCTTTTAATTAAGTACGAAACTATTCATAAGCAATTCTAGGAACAAGCTTACGGAGGGAGATCCATTGAGGGAGAAGTATCGAGTGATTGAGTGGGGAAGATCTATCGAGTGGGGAGATCTACAGTGAGGGAGATTATATGAGGGATTATGAGATCTTCGGGGGGATCTATTGAGTGAGGGAGATTGTCGAGTGAGGGAGATCTGTCGAGTGAGGGTAATAATTACGATTTTTCTCTACCTGTGATTGGCACTTCGCCACACCTGTGTTGCACCTGTGTCCCACCTGTGGAAATTATTATTATTATTATTATTATTATTATTATTATTATTATTATTATTATTATTATATGTGAGCAAATCACCTGCAGGAGGCTTACAGAGTAATACCTGACTTATTATCTGCAAGTAATTTGGGTGAGGTAAGTGGGACTTCGTCACAGGTCACTGTAACTCCCTCGACTGCCCACTTCACCACTTTCACAAAAAGCTAGACCTGGCATTAAATAATTATAATATTAAAACCAGCTACTCTGGTAATTAAACTTGTGTGGATTGTATAGTATTAGGCTTGCTGGGTACGCAATATATAATTGGTATTCACACTCACCATTTAATTACTGGAAGACAGTTAATGCTGATGGAACACACCCTAACTATACCCTAACAGCTAGGATTTACGATGGCCAATGCAAAAACTACTTTAATTATGGGTAAGAATCACTTAGCTAAGGTGTGTTGTTGGGAAGGCTTCATTGAAGTCCTCTATTTTTCCGTCCTCCACTCAATTCTTGCAGTCCCGCAAATTTCCTGTCCCAGTCCTTCAGCAGGAACGTATCAGCAATTTCTAAATAACAAATTGAGGCCGATTTACATCAATCTGGCCTCAGAATACGTCGAATTATTAACAGAAGTTCCCACTACAACCAATGTTCCCAAACTGCAAATGGCGTCCCCCCCCCCCGGCATCAGCACCCCCCCTCTCTTCCACACTCCCCCTCCACTTAAAATTTCTCGAAAGAGTCAAATCAACATCATATTTTATTACACAGTTATTGTATTATTCAAATTTACACATGCTGAATATAGGAAAATCTAAAACTTTCCACAACACCTGTGTCACACTTGTCACACCTGTGTTACACTTGTCACACACATGTTACACTTGTGTCACACCTGTTTCATATGTGTTGGACCTGTGTCACACCTGTGTTACATCTGTGTTGCACCTGTGTCACACCTGTGTTACATCGGTGTTTAACCTGTGTTATATCTGTGTTGCACCTGTGTCGCACCTGTTTTACACCTGTCACACCTATGTTGCACCTGTTCCACACTTGTGTTGCACCCATCACACTTGTGTTACACCTGTGTTACACCTGTGTCACCTGTCACCTGTGTCACACCTGTCACACTTCTCATACCTGTGTCACACCTGTCACACTTCTCATACGTGTGTCACACCTGTCACATCTGGGTCACACCTGTGCTGCACCTGCTACACTTGTGTCACTTCCTCAACTGGCACACAACCCCACCAGCTGCTTTTCACCTGAGCTAAGCACCAGCAACCAATCAGAAGAACATCAGGTAATGAGATGGACATCAGGCAGTGAGAATTAATTAAATCAAGAACCCAAAAGGATAACACCCTGGGGATTGTAATTTCGGGGTAATTTCAAGTTCTAAACGGGCCCCCCCCCACGGAACCTCCCAGGGGGCTTGTTCTCTCAGTTTTAAAACACAGAAGGGGGACCCCGAAATGCCTGGTTCCCGCCCCCGGAACACTAGGCGTTCCAAAAAATTAAAAAACATTTTCCTTTTTCTTGATCAATCCTTTAAATTTCTTGTCCCTCTTTTAACACTGTATTTACTTACGAGTTTAGCAGTTAGTTGTGAAATAATAATAATAATAATAATAATAAAATTAATAGTATAATAGTAATTCGAGCAATCCAAGAAAGGTAGTATCCCCTTAATTCTCAAATTTGCCCTACATAGGCTTAACTTCTGGGGTATCATCCATCTTAGAGAATTCATCACCAGTAATATTTTGAAGATCAGAAGAAGCATTCTTTAGTTATTGAATGTAAATGTTACTATTTATTCAATGAAATTGGCAAATTGGGACTTATTATTATTATGGGAGAGTGCTAAACTCATAGGGATTACACAGGGCATCTGGGGAGAAAGAATGGAAGGTATTCAGGCACAATTCAGGGAACTGGAGCACAGATCCAATTCCCTAGATCAAGGGCCCCCCTCACCAGCATCAAGGGACCTCCCTCGAGGAGCAAATTGGGACTTACACCACTAACATTCTTACGTGTTTTAGTGTGTTCACCAAGTTTACAGTGGAGGTCAAGTCTTATTCTCGTTTTATAAATAATAATTAGTATTGTTGTCATCATCAGTTTAAGCACTAAACTTATTATTATAATCATGTGGGAGTGCTAAACCCATGGGATTATACATTATTATTATAATCAAAAAGAAGCGCTAAGCCACAAGGGCTATACAGCGCTGCATGGGATTATACAGCACATCAGGGAGGGGGGGTGGGAGGTAGTCAGGCTCAATTAGCACTAAACTTAAAAATCATGTAGTGCTAGTTTTACAATAAGTTTCCCTTATGTTGTTAAAAAACACACCGACATACTCGTCAAAGATAGCACTAGAATGGTAAATGAAGAAGTGGGTGTTCAGAGTATGAGGCAAACTGAGGTAGAGATAGATACCATTATTTCTAGGGAAGTGGAAGCAAGAAGTATATGATTTCCATGCATGGCAAATGCTCAAGATCAGCACTTGGGAAATTTTCTTAGCTATGAGCATGACCACTCTGGCATGGAACACCCCTGCCAATGTGACACAAGGCAATGATATAAACCTTAATTCCCTACCTCATTAGGAGTTTACTCTCAGGAAGTCATTTTTTTTTCAACAAACTGGCCATATCCCACCAAGGCAGGGTGACCTAAAAAGAAAATTAGTAATGTATACCAGAGAAGAGGTTTCAGGAAGTCATCTTGCCAATTAATGCTTCATAAGTGTAAAGCACTAAACCTGTGTAGGTCATTCAGTGCAAGGAATGGTAGAGGCTTCATCCTCCAGCCACCCAGGTTAAGGGGGATATAAATGACAATTAGCAATAGACTCCTCTGTGCCCCATGCCAGTGTCATAGCTAGAGACTCTGGGAACCTAACCATATATTTTGTATGCAGTATTAAAGACAGGGAGTGAAAGTTAGTTAGTTAGTTTAATATGTTTATTATGCACCCCATACCCATCCTGTGGGCGGTAGTCAAAAGATTACAGAGGTACATAATTGGTCCAGGGACTGGACTCCAAAGTTTTGATAGCTGAGCAAGTTACAAAGGTAATGAACTAGATCTGGTCATAATCATGACCAAGTTACAAAGGTAATGAGCTCCAGGTTGAGCTGGTCACACTCATGAATAATTGCAAAGGTAATGAATCATAAACACATTAATCATGAGAATTTACAAAGGTAATGAGCTCCAGGTAGAGCTGGTCAAAATCATGATAAGTTTCAAAGGTAATGAATGATAAACACGTTATCACATGATTACAATCATAGACAAATTACAGAGTAATGAGCAGTTAACAAACATAGCAGGGAATTCATCCATTGCCCCAACAACAGATGTTGCTAGGTGCCTGTCTCTCCTCGGCTACAGCCATTGCAAACAGCAGCAAGTTGCCCCGGGATCTGCTGCTTGCACGAGCACCATCGACCCTCCCCAAGAGGTCCAAGAAGCCAGTGACTCCGTTAACAGCCCGATGGAGAGCTCCCCTAGGGACATGGCAACGTCCTGGTGGACGCCAAGTTGACTGAAGATGGTTAAAAATATTACATGCTTAATATACTATTTATATATTTATTTAGTACATGGACAATTTAAAAGCTGATGCCAGAGATACAAAGGCTATACTGTCTTATTCTTGATAAATTCACTAAAGGTCATTATCTTTCTTCTAGATTTGAATTTTTCCTTGGGTTTATGATTTGCTGGGCATGTGACCTGGGTATATGTGCCTTCATATTTGGGTGTTCCAGGAATGATCGTTGTTAGATCCATGCATCTGGACTGGTTGGTCGGGTCAGCATCGTTGGGGTCCTCTTCAAGGTTTTTATTTAGCTGTGATACTTGCAATTCATAATCTCTTATTATGCTAGAAAATGATCCATTCATCTTCGGTACTTTTGGAAGCTTGTGTCTAGGCTTCAGAGCCATAGCACCTGTGAAAAGAAAACTATGGTAAATCCTAATACTTTGAATATTAGCAGTATAGCAGTGGAGATATTTTTCATAGTTACAAAACTGAAAACATACTGAAGTTAATTAAAATAAAAGCACAATTCCTAAAGTACAATGAGCTAAGTCAAATTCATAAAAGAGTATGCAATTTCAGTAAAGCTTTATAAAATTTAAACAATATGTTAGACTTTTTTTTAACACATCTTCCATCTTCAGCTGAAGTAAGATGACCTGAAAAAAAAGAAACATCTTTGCCACTAATCACTCTGATCACTGTCTTCCCAAAGAAGTGTTAATAGTACAGTTCAGACATCTCTCCAAAACTGAAATACCTCATGGAACTGCCTAAACCATCCTGTTCACTTTCTTGTTTAAGCTTGTTAATGGAAGTTCTTGTTCTTTAAGCATTAACTTGTTTTCAAAAATTAGGGACAAAGGAATTAATGTACAATTGCTATGGATCCCATCACACATTGGATTACTCCTTCATGATAAAGTTGATATGTTAGCCAAAAAGAGTACCCAGAAGGAGAATGTAGAATATAACTTTGGTATAACTGTGTCTAGCATTAGGAATAATATTAGGAGAGAAGTAAATAATGAAAACGATTGTTATAGGAATGCAGTTAGAAGCCTGAGTAGATCTATAACCCACTATGATAACATGAACGTAGATAAGTATGTTTATGGAGCAACTTGCAATGTGAACAGACTGACTGATGTTGTAGTGGCCAGGCTTAGGCTTGGTTACAAGTACTTCTGGCAGTTTGGGAGACACGCAGATGATGATCAAACTAAATGTAAATTATGTGATCAGGCATATGGTCACTCTCTTGAACACTATGTGCTTAATTGTCATTTATGAGGAATACAGAGACAGACAGTATAATAACCTATGTGACATGTCAAGATATCTTATTAATGAAAATAAGATACCAGATATACTAAGCAAATTTCCTAAATCTGCTTGTAACAGATAAGTGAACTATAGATATGTAGATATAAATCCATATGTATTCCTGTTAACCCTTTGGGGCCTAGTTCCTTGGCCTTTTGTGTATCCATATGCTCTCGCGCTACCGTCCACAGGATGGATATGGGGTGCACAATAAACTAGCCACTTCGGTGGCAAAATCTAATCTCTTGTTTTCCAGTGTAGCGGTCAGCTGCTTCATTTTTGCAATAGCATACCAGAATGCAGAAGTCTGACAAATGTTTCAGTTGCTCTTTCAGCAGTCTTAATTAGTACGTACTCCATCACATGTGAAGGCATCTGGATGTTGTGCTTCTTACTGTATTTATCAGGGGAGTGCAAAAGTATGGAAGAGCCCTCTATATAGGAATAAAAAATTGAAGGGTACAGAGATATACATCAAACCACTTCTGGATCAACCAGGCTGTGATTGATGTGGGCCAACAGGCTGCCAACAACAACAGCCTGGTTGACCAGGCAAGCACCAGACAAGCCTGGCCCAGAGCAGGGCTTGTGCGAGTAGGAAAACTCTCAAAATCCATCAAAGGCCAAATGTACCAGGGCCAGATGAGTGGACTGGGGGAAAACCTTAAAATTTTGAAGTTTAGACCTACATTGTCCCAACAATTATTCTAAGAACTGTGAAACCAAAGTAAACTGAAGCTTGCTACTACAAAGTGCTTTTGTAAGAAAAAACTCGGAATATAATCCTGGCTCTACACATTATATTATGGTAGAATCTATTGGGGCCCCATAGTTAGTATTTTATAAATAGTGGCATCACTACATATCAGTGCTTTCTAAATGAGAGAGAATGCAAAATGTGTGTGACGAGGTGTGGATGGTTACTGCTGAACTGTTCTGTAAATAGATCAACAAGAAAAAAAGCTGGCCTAACCTGTAAAAGGAAAGAGAGAGCTTCGTAGATTACCCAATCAGAACTCTTAAATACTAGACAACTGAATTTGTCCTGGGTAGTAGGTTGGTAGACAGCAATCACCCAGGGAGGTACTACTGTCCTGCCAAGTGAGTGTAAAACGGAAGCCTGTAATTGTTTTACACGATGGTAGGATTGCTGGTCTTTTTTTTCTGTCTCACACACATGCAATATTTCAGGTACATATTGCTACTTCTACTTACACTTAGATCACACTACACATACATGTACAAGCATATACATACACACCTCTCTGGGTTTTCTTCTATTTTCTTTCTAGTTCTTGTTTATTTCATCTTACCTCCATGGGGAAGTGGAACAGAATTCTTCCTCCATAAGCCATGCATGTTGTAAGAAGCGGCTAAAATGCCAGGAGCAAGGGGTTAGTAACCCCTTCTCCTGTATATATTATTAAATGTAAAAGGAGAAACTTTCGTTTTTCCTTTTGGGCCACCCCGCCTCGGTGGGATACAGCCAGTGTGTTGAAAGAAGAAAGAACTGAATTTAAAATCTGCCTGCTGACTTGACTACCATATCTGATTCATCATTGCTTTAGTGATAGAAGATGATTCTTATGCAAATAAATTTATAGAAAAACCAAGAGTTTCCTTGATGTATTGTAATTACCTTTAACACGACTTGAGAATTAATGACTACATGTTGAGAAGCAAATTTGGCTTCCCCTTTATCTAGATTAAGGAAACACTGTCTCTGAGCCACCATAAAAGGCCTGTCCTGTAAACTAGTTTCAAGATTCTTAATGCTAAAATTCTTAAAGCTCATCAGTGAGAGAAACCTTAAGTGAAAATAACCCCAAGTCATGCAAAATAGTTTTTACTCTACTATTACTCATTATTCATCTCATCTCACAAAGATTCTTACTGCATTGTTGAGGAGTATTTGCCGAGAGAATTACTGCTGCAGTACCTTCAAAGGAATGATCTATCCTACACTAAAGTAAGAACTAGTACCTTAACTAATCTAATAAGTATTAAAGGGCTCTCTACATAAGAGGGGGTGTATAAAGAGCAAGCAGATATTAGGAATATTGCCAGAATGAAGGCAGGTTTTAAGAAGCTGGAGTATTTCCTGCTATAAGTGCTGGATAAGCCTAGTAGACATGGCTAAGTGGGTCTGCAGGCCTATATCATAAACAGCCTGGTTGGCCAGGCAGTAATTAGGGAAGCCTGGTTTTAAGCTGGGTTACGAGGATAAAGAGCAATCAAAACCAGTCAGAGGTATATTAGCACAGGTAATGTGCTATGGGCAGTGCAAATACTTTGGGTACTCGCCTGAAAAATCACAAATAGAAACAATGAGTAAGTGAAGACAAATACTGAAGAGCTCCCACTTCCACTGAAAACAAAGGAATACTTAAAAATATAAACTTTGGTTGAAAGTGTGTGTCAGAGAACAATTTTGAGCATAAAATATATTTACATGCAGTATACATTATTTTTATTTATTGACTGTATAGTGGGGAAGAAGTGTTTATACTTATCATCAGTGTTAAAAGACATCCTGGTTAAACATTCTTCTGAGGGCTCTCCCTTCACCCATGATAATTCATCCAATCTTATAATCTTCATTTTAATAAAAAAAACTTGACTTTCCCAATTGTTAAGCAAAGAACTAATTTTAAACTAAGTATAGCTCCTACATTGCAGAAGTGTATATTAACACATTCTACAGATTAACAGATTACCTGGTATATATCTAGCTAGCATGGGTTGTGATACTAGGAGAGGTTTTCTATTGACAATACCATTAAGCAAATAACAATAAAAAGTTCTTAATAGAATTTTATTGTCCATAGATAGTTGGACTGTCTAAAGCAACCTAACTACTTTAGCACCAATGGCTGTTTACATAGCTGTCTAAAGCTATTCGTATTTTCAACTACTGTAATAAATCTTACCAGTGCTTTGTAATGAATCATTTAATTCTCTCTCTTTACTAGACATGTTAGGGAGACAGTTGTTCATTGTGAGTTCTGTTAAGTGAATCATTGTGTTGGTCCATGTAAACAACTCATTCTGTCTGTCTTGCCATCTTTTTCTTCCTTTAATCTTAACATTAGAGGACAATCAACACAGAGTTATGCACTAACTATTGTGCATACTGAACATGTTGCTTGACTGCACCAGTGTGCAGCCAGTCAGAAACTGGTTCCTACCAGACAAATGTCAAGGTAGAGTACTTATCTAAGTGGTGTCTGGTAAGGGAATGAAGTTCTGACCTTTGGTTACAGCCCAGGCTAGCACAGCCAACAAGATTACAGTAGATAATGGAAAGCTACAAGGAAGTGCAGCTGAGCAAAATGTCACAAGGAGGTCCAAAACTAGTTTTAGTTGTTCATCACAACATGTGCAGAAATGAAAAAGACGTGGAAATGGACACCCAGAGTACAAGGTGGACAAAACAGGCATCAATAAGGAGAATGCAACTAGCATCCTGTTACAAAGTGTAAGATAGGTCTCCATGAGGGCTCGACAAGAAGAAACTGCCCAGAAAAGCAAGTTTAAATAAGGAAGTTTGAAAGTATTTTATCAAGATAATCTGAGTTCTTTGGGAAAAATGAAGCATCAGAAATATAAAAATATAAAATATACATTAATTGAGACTTACTGTAAGGTTTTTCTTCATCATGAAACCTAAGTGACTGTAATGTAGAGAGTATTTGGTCGGAACCAAGAGTAGGTGCAAGCTGAGTTTCCATGTACCTTCTGAAATGTTGAACAAGTCATTAAAAATCAGTCAAATCACATATAGTACTTGTAAATTAAACTTTTCAACAAGAACATTTAACATTAGGGACAAGAATATTTAACATTAAGAATTATATTTGCATCACCCCACAGAAGTGGAATTGGTATATGACTAACAAGAAGAGTGACTATATATGCTTTTCTCTTAGGTTCCTCCAGGTGGCATTATATATGCTCCATTTCCATAGAACTGGAAAAAACTGAAATTGATGTACAGTCCAACTCTAAAATTCACAGGGAAGAGAGGAGGGAAGGGTTAAGTTTCCTGAAGCTGTTAGGAGTCCTGAAAACACTGATAATAGAAAAATTCTCATAGCTGAACTGTTTCAACATTTTTATCCACCTCTTCTTTAAATATTGCTATAATCTTCTTAATTTTAACACTGATAAAACAGAATGAGTACATTCTGAATGAAATCCTATGGTTATTTTTCAGTTTAGTAGTTGTATGCCAAGCATAAAAAAAAAGGGCACAAAAAAAAACTGAATAATCAAAGGTACTACTGAATGGCTTTCAAGAAAACTGTTGCATAACTGAATCACCCAGATTACAAAGCACATGATTCCAGAGTTCAACTGTATGCATTGTTAACAAAACAACTATAGTAGGTACTATAACTTTCTTATAGGGTCGAAAAAGCCCAGTTAAAATTTATGTATGGTACAATGCCATATTTCAATTTGTTCAAAACTTAGTAATTCAGAACATCATTTGTGAGGGAGTAGCCACACACTACAGTGTTACAAAGAGGTAATGATAAGACACTGAAATGTTAAAACTAGACTTGGAATTTCTAGAACTTACTTTGAGCTCCTATCATCCTACCTTGGCATGTTCAAGCTGCCCCAGTTTTTACTATTCTTGCTTCTCATACTTCATGTAACATTCTTTTCTCTCATATACACACATACATAATCATTTTAGCATTTAAGAGAGCAAATAGAAACAAGTTGTTACATAATTTTTGCTATTATTTGACCGCTTCACCAGCAGCAAACAGGAGGTGGAACTGAGAGAAAATGACTTATTCATTCCATATTTAATACAATTTCACGCTGTTAACACTGGAATTCAACCAAAGAGCACACCATGTAGATTTAACCCAGGATAACCTAATAAAGTCAAGCAATGTCACTTCTTTCAATGCTGCCATGAGTACTGCACCTTGAAATAATTGCAATATCATACAATTTCCTTGTAAATAAATCTTCTTCAGTAATCTTGAAGGTACACAGGTATTATGGACACACAAATTACATTATGTTTATATAACCAGGATATTTCAGTGAACCTAAATATACAACACAATATAACACATAGGATACACCTCAATATAATTATGATATCATAAGCATTCCTTGTACACAGTTTAAGAAATCCAAAGCAGAAGAAAATAGAATAAAAATAATTATTTGTGCCAATTTATACTGTATGTATATTCCAAATGGAGCAACATCAGGCTATGCATTTTCCCATTTTTGAAGTGCTCATAAAACACCTTGAAACAATTAATATCATAATACATTAGTGCACAGAACATTAAACATTAAAAACAATAAAAACTGGAAAGCAATCATAATTTAGCATCAATAAATTGTAGGTAGTACGTTGGTAGACAGCAACCATTTGGGGAGGTACTACCATCCTACCAAGTGATTGTAAAAAGGAAGCCTGAATTTGTTTTACATGATGGTAGGATTGCTGGTGTCTTTTTTCTGTCTAATAAACATATTTATAGATGGGGTTGTAAGAGAAGTAAATGCGAGGGTCTTGGCAAGAGGCGTGGAGTTAAAAGATAAAGAATCACACATAAAGTGGGAGTTGTCACAGTTGCTCTTTGCTGATGACACTGTGCTCTTGGGAGATTCTGAAGAGAAGCTGCAGAGATTGGTGGATGAATTTGGTAGGGTGTGCAAAAGAAGAAAATTAAAAGTGAATACAGGAAAGAGTAAGGTAATGAGGATAACAAAAAGATTAGGTGATGAAAGATTGGATATCAGATTGGAGGGAGAGAGTATGGCGGAGGTGAATGTATTCAGATATTTGGGAGTGGACGTGTCAGCAGATGGGTCTATGAAAGATGAGGTGAATCATAGAATTGATGAGGGGAAAAGGGTGAGCAGTGCACTTAGGAGTTTGTGGAGACAAAGAACTTTGTCCTTGGAGGCAAAGAGGGGAATGTATGAGAGTATAGTTTTACCAACGCTCTTATATGGGTGTGAAGCATGGGTGATGAATGTTGCAGCGAGGAGAAGGCTGGAGGCAGTGGAGATGTCATGTCTGAGGGCAATGTGTGGTGTGAATATAATGCAGAGAATTCGTAGTTTGGAAGTTAGGAGGAGGTGCGGGATTACCAAAACTGTTGTCCAGAGGGCTGAGGAAGGGTTGTTGAGGTGGTTCGGACATGTAGAGAGAATGGAGCGAAACAGAGCGACTTCAAGAGTGTATCAGTCTGTAGTGGAAGGAAGGCGTGGTAGGGGTCGGCCTAGGAAAGGTTGGAGAGAGGGGGTAAAGGAGGTTTTGTGTGCGAGGGGCTTGGACTTCCAGCAGGCATGCGTGAGCGTGTTTGATAGGAGTGAATGGAGACAAATGGTTTTTAATACTTGACGTGCTGTTGGAGTGTGAGCAAAGTAACATTTATGAAGGGGTTCAGGGAAACCGGCAGGCCGGACTTGAGTCCTGGAGATGGGAAGTACAGTGCCTGCACTCTGAAGGAGGGGTGTTAATGTTGCAGTTTAAAAACTGTAGTGTAAAGCACCCTTCTGGCAAGACAGTGATGGAGTGAATGATGGTGAAAATTTTTCTTTTTCGGGCCACCCTGCCTTTGTGGGAATCGGCCAGTGTGATAAAAAAAAATAAATAAAATAAAACATGCAAGATTTCAGGTAAGTCTTGCTACTTCTACCTACACTCAGGTCACACTACACATACATGTACACGTTTACATATACACACTCATTTGAGTTTTCTTTGCTTTTATCTTAATAATTCTTGTTCTTAGTGCTTTTCATTTCATATCCATGGGGTAGTGGAATAAGACTCTTTCCTCCATAAGCCATGCGTGTTGTAAACGTTAACCAAAATGCTGGGAACAATGGGCTAGTAACCCCTTTTCCCGTATAGCTTACTAAAAAGAAAAAGAAAAAAAACATCAAAATGGGATGTTTGAATGTGTGTGGATGTTGTGTGAATGATAAGAAAGAGATGATTGTGGATGTTATGAATGAGAAGAAGCTGAATGTCCTGGCTTTAAGTGAAACAAAGCTGAAGGGGGTGGGAGAGTTTCAGTGGGGAGAAATAAATGGGATTAGATCAGGGGTTTCAAATAGAGTTAGAGCTAAAGAAGGAGTAGCAGTAATGCTGAAAGGATAAGTTATGGCAGGAAAAGAGGGAATATAAATATATAAATTCAAGGAGTATGTGGTGTAAAATAAGGGTTGGATGTGAAAAGTGGGTTATAGTCAGTGTTTATGCACCTGGAGAAGAGAGAAGTAAAGAGGAGAGAGAGAGATTTTGGGAAATGTTGAGTGAGTGCATGGAAAGTTTTGAACCAAGTGAGAGAGCACTTGTTGTTGGGAATCTCAATGCTAAAGTGGGTAAAAATGTTGTGGAGGGAGTAGTAGGTAAATCTGGGGTGCCAGGGATAAATGAAAATGGGGAGCCTTTAATTGAGCTATGTGAAGAAAGAGGTTTAGTAATAAGTAATACAAATTTTATGAAAAAAGTGGATAAGTATACAAGGTATGATATAGCACGTAATGAAAGTAATTTGTAGATTATGTATTGGTGGATAAAAAGTTGATGGGAAGGCTTCAGGATGTACGTGTTTATAGAGGGGGCAATGGATATATCAGATCATTATTTAGTTGTAGATACAGTTAGAGTTAGAGGTAGATGGGACAAGAGAAAAATGGCAACAGCAAGTAAGAGAGAGGTGAAAGTGTATAAACTAAGGGAGGAGGAAGTTAAGGTGAGATATAAGCAACTATTGGCAGAAAGGTGGGCTAATGCAAGTATAAATAGTGGGGGTGGGTTGAAGGGGCAGAAGTTTGTGGCTATAGGAGGGTGGGTGCAGGAGGAAAGAGGAATGACTGGTAGAATGATGAAGTATAGGGTATGATAAAATAAAAAAAAGGTAGCTTATGAGAGGTTTTTACAAAGCAGAAGTGTTGTAAGAAGAGCAGAGTATATGGAGAGTAAAAGAAAGGTGAAGAGAGTGGCGAGTGCAAAAGGAGAGCAGATGAAAGAGTGGGAGAGGCACTGGCAAGAAATTTTAATGAAAATAAGAAAAAATTTTGGAGTGAGATAAACAAGTTAAGAAAGCTTAGGGAACAAATGAATTTGCCAGTTAAAAACAGAGTAGGGGAGTTAGCAGATGGGGGAGCTGGAGCTATTGGGTAGATGGCAGGAATATTTTGAGGCACTTTTAAATGTCAATGATGAAAGGGAGGTGGAAATTTCATGCACTGGTCAGAGAGGTATAACATCTTTTAGGAGTGAAGAAGAGCAGGATGTGAGTGTGGGGGAGGTGCATGAGGCATTACATAGAATGAAAGGTAGTAAAGCAGCAGGAACTGACAGAATCATGACAGAAATGTTAAAAGCAGGGGGATACATAGTGTTGGAGTGGTTGGTATTTTTGTTTAATAAATGTATGAAATATAGGTAGTAGGTTGGTAGACAGCAACCGCCCAGGGAGGTACTACCGTCCTGCCAAGTGAGTGTAAAACGAAAGCCTGTAATTGTTTTACATGATGGTAGGATTGCTGGTGTCCTTTTTTCTGTCTCTTGAACATGCAAGATTTCAGGTACGTCTTGCTACTTTTACTTACACTTAGGTCACACTACACATACATGTACAAGCACATATATACACACCCCTCTGGGTTTTCTTCTATTTTCTTTCTAGTTCTTATTCTTGTTTATTTCCTCTTATCTCCATGGGGAAGTGGAACAGAATTCTTCCTCCGTAAGCCATGCGTGTTGTAAGAGGCGACTAAAATGCCGGGAGCAAGGGGCTAGTAACCTCTTCTCCTGTATATATTACTAAATGTAAAAGGAGAAACTTTCCTTTTTCCTTTTGGGCCACCCTGCCTCGGTGGGATACGGCCGGTGTGTTGAAAGAAAGAAAGAAATGTATGAAAGAGGAGAAGGTACCTAGGGATTGGCAGAGAGCATGTATAGTTCCTTTATATAAAGGGAAGGGGGACAAAAGAGACTAAAAATTATAGGGGAATAAGTTTACTGAGTATACCAGGTAAAGTGTATGGTAGGGTTATTATTAAAAGAATTAGAGGTAAGACAGAGAGTAGGATTGCAGATGACCAAGGAGGCTTTAGAGTGGGTAAGGGATGTGTAGATCAAGTGTTTACATTAAAGGCAGGGAAGTTTTCATTGCATTTATGGATTTAGAAAAGGCATATGATAGATTCTAAAGAAAAATTGCAAAGGTTAGTGGATGAGTTTGGGAATGTGTGTAAAGGTAGAAAGTTGAAAGTGAACATAGAAAAGAGTAAGGTGATGAGGGTGTCAAATGATTTAGATAAAGAAAAATTGGATATCAAATTGGGGAGGAGGAGTATGGAAGAAGTGAATGTTTTCAGATACTTGGGAGTTGACGTGTCGGCGGATGGATTTATGAAGGATGAGGTTAATCATAGAATTGATGAGGGAAAAAAGGTGAGTGGTGCGTTGAGGTATATGTGGAGTCAAAAAAACATTATCTATGGAGGCAAAGAAGGGAATGTATGAAAGTATAGTAGTACCAACACTCTTATATGGGTGTGAAGCTTGGGTGGTAAATGCAGCAGCGAGGAGACGGTTGGAGGCAGTGGAGATGTCCTGTTTAAGGGCAATGTGTGGTGTAAATATTATGCAGAAAATTCGGAGTGTGGAAATTAGGAGAAGGTGTGGAGTTAAAAGTATTAGTCAGAGGGCAGAAGAGGGGTTGTTTGAGGTGGTTTGGTCATTTAGAGAGAAGGATCAAAGTAGAATGACATGGAAAGCATATAAATCTATAGGGGAAGGAAGGCGGGGTAGGGGTCGTCCTCGAAAGGGTTGGAGAGAGGGGGTAAAGGAGGTTTTGTGGGTAAGGGGCTTGGACTTCCAGCAAGCGTGCGTGAGCGTGTTAGATAGGAGTGAATGGAGACGAATGGTACTTGGGACCTGACGATCTGTTGGAGTGTGAGCAGGGTAATATTTAGTGAAGGGATTCAGGGAAACCGGTTATTTTCATATAGTCGGACTTGAGTCCTGGAAATGGGAAGTACAATGCCTGCACTTTAAAGGAGGGGTTTGGGATATTGGCAGTTTGGAGGGATATGTTGTGTATCTTTATATGTGTATGCTTCTAGACTGTTGTATTCTGAGCACCTCTGCAAAAACAGTGATAATGTGCGAGTGTGGTGAAAGTGTTGAATGATGATGAAAGTATTTTCTTTTTGGGGATTTTCTTTCTTTTTTGGGTCACCCTGCCTTGGTGGGAGACGGCCGACTTGTTGAAGAAGAAGAAGAAGAAATGATAGAGTGGATAGGGGAGCAATGTGGCAGATGTTACAAGTGTATGGAATAGGTAGTAAGTTACTAAATGCTCTAAAGAGTTTTTATGAGGATAGTGAGGCTCAGGTTAAGGTGTGTAGGAGAGAGGGAGATTACTTCCCAGTAAAAGTAGGTCTTAGACAGAGATGTGTAATGTCAGCATGGTTAATATATTTATAGATGGGGTTGTGAAAGAAGTAAATGCCAGTGTGTTGGGGAGAAGGGTGGGATTAAATTATGGGGAATTAAATACAAAATGGGAGTTGACACATTTACTTTTTGCTGATGATACTGTGCTTATGGGAGATTCTAAAGAAAAGTTGCAAAGGTAAGTGGACAAGTTTGGGAGGGTGTGTAAAGATAGAAAGTTGAAAGTGAACATAGATAAGAGTAAGGTGATGAGGGTATCAAACGATTAAGATAAAGAAAAATTGGATATCACATTGGAGAGAGGGAGTATGGAAGTAAATGTTTTCAGATATTTGGGAGTTGAAGTGTCAGCAGATGGGTTTATGAAGAATGAGGTTAACCATAGAATTGATGAAGGAAAAAAGGTGAGTGGTGCGTTGAGGTATTTGTGGAGACAAAAAAACATTATCCATGGAGGCAAAGAAGGGAATGTATGAAAGTATAGTGGTACCAACACTCTTATATAGGTGTGAAGCATGGGATGTAAATGCTGCAGTGAGGAGGCGGCTGGAAACAGTGGAGATGTCCTGTCTAAGGGCAATGTGTGGTGTAAATATTATGCAGAGAATTCAGAGTGTGGAAATTAGGAGGTGTGGAGTTAATAAAAGTATTAGTCAGAGGGCTGAAGAGGGATGGTTGAGGTGGTTTGGTCATTTAGAGTGAATGGATCAAAGTAGAATGACTTGGAGAGCATATAAATCTGTAGGGGAAGGAAGGCGGGGTAGGGTTCGTCCTCAAAAAGGTTGGAGGGAGGGGGTAAAGGAGGTTTTGTGGGCGAAGGGCTTGGACTTCCAGCAAGCATGTGTGAGCATGTTAGATAGGAGTGAATGGAGACGAATGGTACCTGGGACCTGATGAGCTGTTGGAGTGTGAGCAGGATAATATTTAGTGAAGGGATTCAGGGAAACCGGTTATTTTTGTATAGCCGGACTTGAGTACTGGAAATGGGAAGTACTATGCCTGCACTTTAAAGGAGGGGTTTGGGATATTGGCAGCTTGGAGGGACACGTTGTGCATCTTTATACGTATATGCTTCTAAACTGTTGTGTTCTGGGCACCTCTGCAAAAACAGTAATAATGCATGAGTGAGGTGAAATTGTTGAATGATGATGAACGTATTTTCTTTTTGGGAATTTTCTTTCTTTCTGGGTCACCCTGCCTCGGTGAGAGACGGCCAACTTGCAATAAAAACTTCCCTACCTTTATCTAAATACTGTTCACATATATGCTTCAATGTAAACACTTGATCTACACATCCCCTACCCACTCTGAAGCCTCCCTGCTCATCCGCAATCCTACATTCTGTCTTACCTCTAATTCTTTCAATTATAACCCTACCGTATACTTTTCCTGGTATACTCAGTAAACTTATTCCTCTATAATTTTTACAATCTCTTTTGTCCCCTTTCCCTTTATATAAAGGGACTATACATGCTCTCTGCCAATCCCTAGGTACCTTCCCCTCTTTCATACATTTATTAAACAAAAGTACCAACCACTCCAACACTATATCCCCCCCTGCTTTTAACATTTCTGTCATGATCCCATCAGTTCCAGCTGCTTTACCCCCTTTCATTCTACGTAATGCCTCACGTACCTCCACCACACTTACATTCTGCTCTTCTTCACTCCTAAAAGATTGTATACCTCCCTGGCCAGTGCATGAAATTACCGCCTCCCTTTCTTCCTCAACATTTAAAAGTTCCTCAAAATATTCTCGCCATCTACCTAATACCTCCCTTTCCCCATCTACTAATTCCCCTACTCTGTTTTTAACTGACAAATCCATACTTTCCCTAGGCTTTCTTAACTTGTTTAACTCACTCCAAAATGAATATGTGGTAAATAAATAACTACTGTCACTGAATAAGTAAATAAAGAAATAATTACTGCAATTAACCCTTTGACTGTTTCAGGCCCCTCTCTGAAACTGTCATTCTATGTCGCTCAATTTTTGAAAAAAAAAAAATTATTTTTTCTTATGAAATGATAGAGAATCTTTTCCCGATGGTAATGACACCAAAAGTTCGAAATTTGGTCGAAAACTCGTGGAATTATGCTCCCGCGAAGTTAGCGGTCTCGGCAACATATGCGTATCGGCGATTTCGCCGACTTTGAGCCCAATTTTCAGCCAATTCCATTGTTCCAGTTGACCAAACTCATAGCTATTTCTTTAGAACTCCATTTTGTCTATCAGCTGAGTACAAGAAACCTCCCATTTACTAATTTGGACTACCCAATATGGTGGTCAGAAATTGGCAATTTGGCCAATTTCACGCAAAATAAAAAAGATGCCAATTTCAAAATAGGGTCCAGAATAAACAAGGTAGACATTCGTGGCACTAAAATAACATATGCTCTGTTCATTAGTCACATCTCTAGGCCCCTCTTATATTATTATTGCTTTCTATTTTGATTTTTTATTCATACAAAAAAATACAAAATTTACTGTTATGCAGACGACTGCATTATTGTAAAAATGGTATAAATAATATCAGTGCACTAGTGAAAGAATATTAGACTCCCCAGTTGACGTGTATTGGACGTGTGGTGTGATTTATGTACTCTTGAACATTGGTAAAAATCGAACATTTCCGCTACTTTGAGCTCAGTTTCAAGGTCGTTTTCATCGTAAAAGTAATGAAAATCATCTCTATTTCTGTAATATGTTTTCCATTTTATCACCTAAGACCATGAAAACGCGAATACAACGATAAATACTATACGAAAATACACCTCAAAGTCGGCGTTTTATTCCAAAAAAACGATCAGAGTTTTTTTTTTCTCATTACGCAATGTGTGCTGCAGGATTTTTTTTATGTGGTGCACACTGACCACACAGACCCATTCTCTCACATGTGGGCCTACCAGCTTTCTCCCACTTGATTTGAAGCCGCTAGAATTATTGAGTATATATACGTCAGAAACATTGGCTCGTAAGACGTATTTATACGTCGAAAACAGTGAAAGGGTTAAATAAATACCAGCATTGAAAATTAAATAAATGAACACAAGTTATGGACTTGCTGGCTCATACTGGGTAATTATTTTTAAGTCTCATCTCCAAAGTATGTAGTTACTTTTGCTCCATTGTAAAGTCAAAATATTGTAAATCGAATCACCGTAAGTCGAGGAGCACCTATATACTAACTTGTTGTCAGATATCTGTTTCAGGAGTTGGGCACTGCCAAGCTGGTCTTTTGCAAGATGTTTCCAGCGAACCGCAACTTGTTTGTCATGTTTCTGGATCTCAGCGTCACTCCTCGGGCTCCAGTGTACTTTTAATAATTTCTGTAAGAATGTAGACAGAGGTCAGAGCTGGAAACATTATTATATACTGTATTTCCCTATTTTCTTCCCAACCATGTGAGCTTTACTGAAGAGCAATGATAGGTAACAGTCCTTTACAACTAAAGAATGGAAGAGTCAATACATAGTGTGTCAACACAAAGTTAAAGTTTTTCATTTGGAATATTTGTGCCAAGTTCATGTATACTTCACATTTAAAAAATAAAACTATTAATATAAAAAAATATACAGTGGAACCTCAAATATTGAACTGCTCCCAACTCAACCAATTATGTAAGTGTATTTTTGTAAGTCATAGGTAGTAGGTTGATAGACAGCAACCACCCAGGGGGATACTAACATCCTGCCAAGTGAGTGTAAAATGAAAGTCTGTAACTGTTGTACATGATGGTAGGATTGCTGGTGTCCTTTTTTCTGTTTCATAAACATGCAAGATTTCAGGTATGTCTTGCTACTTCTACTTGCACTTAGGTCACACTACACATACATGTACGTACAAGTATATACGTATATACACACACACCCTTCTGGGTTTTCTTCTATTTTCTTTCTAGTTCTTGTTCTTGTTTATTTCCTCTTACCTCCATGGGGAAGTGGAACAGAATTCTTCCTCCGTAAGCCATGCGTGTTGTAAGAGCCGACTAAAATGCCGGGAGCAAGGGGCTAGTAACTCCTTCTCCTGTATATATTACTAAATGTAAAAGGAGAAACTTTCGTTTTTTCCTTTTGGGCCACCCCACCTCGGTGGGATACGGCCGGTGTGTTGAAAGAAAGAAGAAAGATTTTTGTAAGTGCTTTTATAAGTGTATTTTTGAGGGTCTGAAATGAACTAATCTAATTTACGTCATTCCTGATGGGAATAAATTCATTCGGCAACGGCACTCGAACAACTGTCTGAATGAAGAAAGTTCAATATTTGAGGTTCCACTATACTGAAATGTTATTTTGATGAAAACCAATTTTTCTATCAAAGATCATACATAACCTGAGTAGAATATAACTGAGCTTGTTAAAATATAATTAGTCAGACACTAATCACTCAGCAAATCAAGACATGAGACTTCCATCTAAAGTTTAATCATTTTCACTGTAATATGACAAACTGTTTGCATCCCAATTTACTCAAGATGTAATTGTATCACAAATAAATACAAATCCTTCAAGGGGGTGCATAAATGCTAGTGAAAAATTTTTGATATAAGGAATTAGATCAAAGCTGATTACATCTCATCCCTAAATGTTGTATAACTCCTATGGATTTAGCAATTCCCATTAATACTATGATAATAATAATAAAATTAGGTAGTAGGTTGGTAGACAGCAACTACCCAGGGAGGCACTACTGTCCTGCCAAATGAGTACGAAATGAAAACACGTACATGTAATTGTTTTGAATGATGGCAGGATTGCTGGTCTTAGGTAGTAGGTTGGTAGACAGCAACTGCCCAGGGAGATACATGTACTACCATCCTGCCAAGTGAGCGTGAAACAGAAGCCTGTAATTGTTTTACAAGATGGTAGGATTGCTGATGTCTTTCTTCTGTCTCATAAACATGCAAGGTTTCAGGGACTTCTTGCTACTTCTACTTACACTTAGGTCACACTACACATGCATGTACAAGCATATATATACACACACCCTTCTGGGTTTTCTTCTATTTTCTTCCTAGTTCTTGTTTTTGTTTATTTCTGCTTATCTCCATGGGGCAGTAGAACAGAATTCTTCCTATGTAAGCCATGGGTGTCATAAGAGGTGACCAAACTGCTTGGAGCAAGGGGCTAGTAACTCCTTCTCCTGTATATAATACAGTGGACCCCCGGTTATCGGCCAGTTATGTTATCGACCAACTCGGTGATCGGCCGGTTTTTCAACGCCTGGTTATCGGCTGTTAATTCAGTGATCGGCTGTTCTGCTGGGGCCACTTGCGCATCAGTTTGGCTGTGTCTCTTGTGGTGACTGAGGAAGCTTCTGCTCATACATCCAAACATTTTGCTTATTTCCTATTGTAGTTTGTGTTATTTTTGCAGTGCAACTGTGAAATAAGTAACCATGGCTCCAAAGAAAGTTCCTGTGGTAAAAAAAAATGAGAAACACCATGGAATTTAAGTGTGAAGTGATAGAAAAGTTTGAGAGTGGTGTGAGGGCGGTGGAACTTACCAAGATGTACAGCAAGAATAAATCAACAATTACATCCATCCTGGCTAAGAAAGAACAAATCAAGGATGCTAATGTTGCAAAAGAAGTACTTTTCTAACTAAACAAAGGCCACCAATAATGGAAGAGATGGAAAAGTTATTATTATTGTGGATTAAGGAAAAAAAATTAGTGGGAGAATGTTGTGGAGTCGATTATTTGTGAGAAGGCAAGGCAGTTGCATGAGGATCTTGCAAAGAAAATGCCTGGAACAAGTGCTGCAGTTTGTGAATTTAGGGCCAGGATGATTTGATAGATTTAAGAAGCATAGTGACATACACAGTGTTGTAAGGCATGGTGAGGCTGCAAGTTCTGACTAATGTGCAGCTGAAAAATTTGTGCAGGAATTCCAGGGGTACATAGAGGCTGAAGAATTCAAACCCCAACAAGTGTTCAACTGTGACGAAACAGGCCTGTTTTGGAAGAAAATGCCAAACAAGACCTACATTACCCAGGAGGAAAAGGCACTGCCAGGACACAAGCCTATGAAAGACAGGCTTACTCTTTTGTTGTGTAGTAATTCTAATGGGGATTTCTAAGTGAAGCCTTTACTCGTGTATCACTCAGAAAATCCCAGTGTTCAAGAAAAAAAATGTCATGAAGAATAGTGTGTGTGTGATGTGGAACGCTAATCATAAGGCATGGGTCACAAGGCAAATTTTCAAATAGTGGGTTAATGATACGTTTAGCCCAAGTGTGAAAAAATACCTCCTGGAAAAGAAATTGTCATTCAAGTGCCTCCTGGTACTGGACAATGCTCCTGCACATCCTCCAGACTTGGAAAACCAAGTGTTTCGGGACTTCAATTTTATAAAAGTGAAGTTCTTGCCTCCTAACACCACTCCTCTCTTCCAGCCCATGGACCAGCAGGTCATTTCTAACTTCAAAAAACTCTACACAAAAGTAGTGTTTCAAAAGTGCTTAGAAGTGACCTCGGACACTCGACTGGCCCTAAAAGAGTTCTGGAGGAATCACTTCATTATCTTCCATTGCATAAGCCTTATAGGTAAGGCTTGGGAGGGAGTGACTTCCAGTACTTTGAACTCTGCTTGGAGAAAACTGTGGCCAGATTGTGTCCAAGAGAGGGATTTTGAAGAGTTTGAGGCTGACCCTGACCCTGCCGACCATGTGGACTCTATTGTGGCACTGGTGGGGTTGGAGGTGAGTGGTGAGGATGTGGAAGAGTTGGTGGAGGACCACAGGGAAGAACTAACCACTGAAGAGCTGCAAGAGCTTCAACTTAAACAGCAACAGACTGCAGCTGAGGAACTTGCTTCAGAGGAGGAGGAAGATAGAGTGAAGGAGCTGCTTTCTTCACTGATTAAGAACATTTGTCCAGAAGCCAGCATTAGCCTTCAATAAAGGTATGTAATATTTACATATTGTTAAAAAAATTATTTTTTTGTGAATATTTTTATCTGGAATGGATTAATTGTATTTACGTTAACCCTTTGACTGATCGGTCATATAAATACGTCTTATGAGCCACCGTGTTTGACTTACATATACTCAAAAATTCTAGCAGCTTCAAATCAAGCAGGAGAAAGCTGTTAGGCCCACATGTGAGAGAATGGGTCTGTGTGTTCAGTGTGCACCATATAAAAAAAAATTCTGCAGCACACAGCGCATAATGAGAAAAAAAAAAACTCCGACCGTGTTTTTGGATTAAAACACCGACTTTGTGGTGTATTATTGGATAGTATTTATGGTTGTATTCTCGTTTTCTTGGTCTCATTTGATGGAATGGAAAACATGTTATAGAAATAGAGGTGATTTTGATTAGTTTTACTATGACAAGAACCTTGAAATGGAGCTCAAAGTACGGGAAAAGTTTGATTTTTGCCGATGTTCAAAAGTAAACCAATGGTGTCATTGCCCAATAAATGTCCAACTAGCCATTCTAATATGCAGTCATGAATGGGTTCACATTATTTATACAATTATTACAATATTGCAGTAGTCTGCATAACAGTAGATCTTCTATTTTTTGTTTGAATAAAAATTCAAAATAGAAAGCAAGAGTAATATCAGAGGGGCCTGAAGATATGACCGATGAACAAAGAAAATGTTATTTTAGAGCCAGGAATGTCTGCATTGTTCATTCTGGACCGTATTTTGAAATTGGCTTATTTTTTAATTTGTGTGAATTAGCCAAATTGCAAATTTCTGACCACGTTATTGGGTAGCTGAAATCAGTAAATGGGCAGTTTCTTGTACTCAATCTATAGAACAAATGGAGTTCTAAAGAAATAGCTATGAGTTTTGTCGACTGGAACAATGGAATTAGCCAAAAATAAGGCTCAAAGTAGGCAAAATCGCCGATTTGTAAATATTGTTGAGGTCGCTAACTTCGCAAGACCGTAATTCCGTAAGTTTTCAATCAAATTTTGTTCTTTTGGTGTCATTACCATCAGGAATAGATTCTCTATCATTTCATAGAAAAAATAATTTTTTTTTTTCAAAAACTTTTCGACACCAGGAGACACCTCAAGATTTGGGGCTGCAACAGTCAAAGGGTTAATTATTATGGGAAATATTACTTCAGTTTTTGGCTGACCTTCTGGAACGGATTACGGCCAATAACCAAGGGTCCACTGTACTAAATTTAAAAAGAGAAACTCTCATTTTTCTTTTGGGGCCACCCTGCCTTGGTGGGATACAGCCAGTTTGTTGAAAGAATAATAGTAATAATAATAATAATAATAATAATAATAATAATAATAATCATAATAATAAAATATTCTTCTTCTTTCTACAAATTGGCCATATCTCACCAAAGCAGGGTGGCCCAAAAAGAAAAACATGAGTTTCTCTTCTTAACCTTAGCAATGTATACAGGAGGCCTGGTCATGGACTGGGCCGCAGGGGCATTGCTCCCCAGAATTCTCTCCAGGTAGGGGTAACTAGTCCCTTGCTCCCGGCATTTTAGTCGCCTCTTACGACATGCACGACTTGAGGAGGAAGAATTCTGTTCTACTTCCGCATGGAGAATAATTCTTTTTCTTTCAAGAAACCAGCTGTATCCCACCGAGGCAGGGTGGCCCAAAAAGAAAAACAAAAGTTTCTCTTTTTAACTTTAGTAATGTATACAGGAGAAGGGGTTACTAGTCCCTTGCTCTCAGCATTTTAGTAGCCTCCTACAACATGCATGGCTTATGGAGGAAGAATTCTGTTCCACTTCCCTAGGAGATAAGAGGAAATAAATAAGAACAAGAACTAATAAGAAAATAGAAGTAAACCCAGAGGGATGTGTATATATATGCTTGTACATGCAAGTGTAGTGTGACCTAAGTGCAAGTAGAAGTAGCAAGACGTACCTGAAATCTTGCTTGTTTATGAGACAGGAAAAAGACACCAGCAATCCTACCATGATGTAAAACAATTACAGGCTTCCGTTTTACTTACTTGGCAGGACAGTAGTACCTCCCTGGGCGGTGCTGTCTACCAACCTACTACCTAAAATGGAGAATAATTAAACACATATTTTTTAAAAAATAGTACATCAGCCACTTCCCACCAGGTAAGGTGATCAAAAGTAAAATGCATTCACCATCACTTATTACTTATCTGCTGCAGTTCAGTAGATATTTTTTTAATTGTGGCAACCACACAGTTCTGGAGAGGCAGCTATGGAATGAGTGAGGGTCAGCATATTTTTCTTTCTGGGTCACCTTATCTTGATATAAAATGGTCGGCATGTTCAAAAATATAAACCATTAATAATTAACTTATGCAGTACTATTCTAAAAATATCCAAACATTCTTATACACAAAACTTTTCTTTAGACACACAGCTGAGGCAGCAGTACAAAACAGGTTTACCTTGGCACCAGCAGGAGAAATGGGAAAGGCTTTTGAAAGAGCCTCAGGCGTCCACATGCTCGGGTCAGAAGAATGCAAATAACGCAACTGCTCTTTCATTGCCCATGTTAGTAGGTTTTTTTCTTTTGGTTCATAATCACTGAAGTATTTCCTCTTAATTGTTTCTCTGCGCAAATGAACCTGATATTTCTTGGCATCACTGTAAGAGTACTTATATTCGGTACAAATGTAGTTTTGTGATATACAGTAGATGTCAATCAATCAATGACACGGTAAATCCCATAGGGAGGGAAAATAAAACACTAGACTGAAAAGGATCTGTATATTTGGCATCAGAGGCCCTATCAACAATGGGTCTGAGACTCACCCTGTGTTTATTTTCCTTCCATGTGGGATTTACTTTTTCACTTAATATAGTACATAAGCTTTCTAGTATTATTAGATGGCTGACAGAAACCTATATATGTACTACTGTAATTCGTTACCTTTGCTTTAGCCAGAATAAAGTTAAAGGAAAACATGAATATGATATTGCCACAAAAATGACATCATTGTTTAACCCTTAAACTGTCCAAATGTAGATCTACGTTTGCTCGCGTAGCGCTCCGAATGTAGATCTACTTTTTTTTACATGGTTTCTTATAGAGAAAATTAAGGTCGGAGCGCTATGAGCGCAAACGTAGATCTACGTTTGGACAGTTTAAGGGTTAACCCTTAAACTGGAATGGTATTATACAAAATTAGGCACATTTGTTGGAGATTATCAGAAGCCTTTGCTTCTGATAATCTCCAAATTGCAAAAAAATGGCAAAAAAAATCTTGTTTTCCTAACTATTTACCAAAATCTTTTTGTACTTAACAGTATGTATGGTTTGATTACATGCATGGGGAAGCACTTAACCCATAAGTCATACAGGTGCCCTGGGAAATAGGAGGTATTCAGGTTCACTCCAAGGAAGGGAAGGGAAGAGCAGGTCCAATTCCTTGGGAAAGAGCCATCACTGGCATCAATCAATCAATCAATCAAGTTTATTCTCTATAAGGATTACAATGCGGGGTTTACAGATTTTGAATATTGTGTGGTTTACATGTTTTAAAATACTAATTACAGAGGCGGCCACTAGGACACATAGCATGGCTAGGCATTTTGGGCAGACTTAAATTCTAAACTTTAAATTATTACAGATTATGGTATTAAGGCTAAGTGACTACATTATAGTTTGTGAGTTTAGCAATGTGAATGCTTTTGTTTCGGCACAATACATAGTGTCTATATTGGAGTATCATAGGCAAACTTATGACTAGTTAGGATTCATTATTTTAAGATTAAGATTTGTATTTCTGTGTTTATAGTCAATGGGTGAATGAGTGTAAGTGTGAACCACCAGGTGGTTTACATGTAGTTAGTCCAGGCAACCTTCCCCTCAGAGGTTGTATGGTTTAATCTGCAGCTCTTGGGTCTCTTCTCTTAATCATTAATCTACTAGTCTGGGACCAAACCACAGGGGCACTGTCCCCTGGAATTGACTAGAAGTTCCTACAGGTTTAATCCCTGACCCCTCGGTTTCATATCTGTGACCATGTATGTGTGACCAATTTCCAGATTTCTTCTACTCGGCAGTCAAGTCACAGACCAAGCTTTCCTAGTGACCACCAAACAGGCTACTGCTGCCCACATCCTGCAGGCATACATAGTCATCACAACCTAACATACAATTTATCCTACAAGAGCTTGTCAGGTTTCCTAGTGAAAACTTTTATATTAGTTTCTCTGTAATTTTTGTATCTGCTTGCACAAAGTTGAAGAGTTATGGATATTGGCATTCATAAATGCTATGGTTTAGTGAATAAGCCTACGTATTTTCACAATGAGTGATTACAAATAAAATATGAATAATACAGGATGATGACAAAATGGACAAAGATCTTACTAATCGCTTAATTAAGCTATCACTTCCCTCTTCTTATTGAAAGGTTATTTAAGGGATTATTTATCTCAATAAGAGAGAATAATTTGTAATCAACTTAGTAACTTGTATATATTTTACTGTACATTAACTTAAAACATTATCCTTATAACAGAGACAGTACCTACAAGTGTTATTCAATATGTGGTATTCAAGGTGACCTCAAGAATGTACTGCCAAGGAATATAAAAAATTTACTGTATCAGCTGTGGCGATAAGTGTAGTAAACAAGAATATACGACAACAGAATTTTCACATTCCCACAGCACCTGGTCCTTGTAACATACATACAGTATGTGGATGTACCATTTCTCTCTCGATTTTTTTTTCTTTTATTTTTTGCCTGTTATCTATTTTGAGGATTTTTCTAACCTCAATTCCTGGTCTGGGGGCCAGGCAGCTTTGTTGACTGCCTGTTTAACTTGACTGTTGCTGCTGGCAGCCCCCTAGACTACATGGCTATCACAGCCTGAGTGATCTGGCATCTTGGAAAGATAGTGGTCCAGTCTCCTCTTGAAGACTTCTACACTAATTCCAGCAATACAAAGATCTTTGCTAGTAGGAAGTTAAAGAGTTTTGGGCCTCAGGTGTTGACAGTGTTCTTATTGTCCCTATGGAACCTCTGCTTTTCACTGGCCCTGTCTATATATAATACTGTATATGCATCATATGCTAGTCTAAGCTGAGAGCCCTAAGCAAAAATTTTGCATAATTAATTATACATACACTTCAAGCTGTGAGGAATGATGCTGTAGAGCTTCTGCATCTAAATTTGACATTTCTTCTAGGTCATCAATACTTATATCTTCAACATCCTCTTCAGCTGTACCTAAGCCTCGTAAAACTCGTGGTATACCTCGGACTGTAAAAGTATTAGGTCTTCAATAATAACCAATATATATCTAGTTACAAAACATATATCAAATGTAATTAGTAAATCAGCTGATTTACATAGTTTTTAAACTATATCACAGTTTTTATCACAGGACATAACTATAATATTTTAAGTCAATTTACAGTTATTACTAATATATTATTGTACTCTGTTCACAAAAATACATTATATCTCTAAGGATCATACAACACTAGTCTTACATGCTTCTTTCTTTCACCATGCACCAACACACTCATTATACATTTTCAGTCTTTGCACTACACAACCAAAACAGGTACAAAATGGAGGTATAATACTGGCAAGTGGTGAGGCTGTTCTTATTAGGTACAATGTTTCACCCATGAGGGGGTACATCATTATCATTGTTACTCATACTCTAGTTATCTTTCCACAAGTCCATGGGCATCCTTAGGTCACCTTCTTCACTAACCTGAAAGAGGTGCAGTTGTGCTAACAAATCTGTGCAGTTTGAGAGATGTCCACACTCTTCCTGCTCTTGCTACAGTACCTGCCATGTTGTGTATAATCTGAAAATTACGTATATTTCTTAATTAGACTCTCAGTGACATTCAATTAAATATTTACCATGAGATTATTATCTTCGACTTCATAAAAGAGTAAAAACTGGGTGACCTGTAACTCTATGGCAGAAAACTCCACTCAAAATAAACCTAATTCAAGTCCAATGCCCAAGCAGGATGAGGGATGTGGGTAAGTGTCCACACATCTGCTGCCAACGGTCACCTAGCATTAAACATTTATAGTATCCGAGTGTTATTCAACTATTGTCGGTCACATCATAGAGGGTAGTAGTACAGTATGTCTTAGATAGGGCTGAGCTCTAAAATTAGTTGTAGTAGGATACCAGCTCTTGGTATGTAAATACTGGAGATGGAAGAGGCAGTGGAGGTAAAAGTGAGGTGATCAGTTTCTCAGGCCAGAAGTAGCAGGTTTGAGGTTTAAGATAAGATAACATAAGATTTTGTTTGGATTTTTAACCCCACAGGGTTAGCCACCCAGGATAACCCAGGAAAGGCAGTGTATCATCAAGGACTACCTGTCTTATTTCCATTGGGGTCCTCAATCTTGTCCCCCAGGATATGACCCATGCCAGTCGACTAACACTCAGGTACCTACTTGCTGCTAGGTGAACAGGACAATAGGTGTAAGGAAACACGCTGAAATGTTTCTACCCCGCCAGAAATCGAACCCGGGCCCTCCGTGTGTGAAGTGAGAGCTTCACCAGCCAGGCCACGGGGTCACCACGTGCAGTCCTTTTTTTACCTTTATCACTTCAGCTGTCTCCAATATTTAGTCTGTTTTCAACTGAGGAAGTCTGCAAAGCAAACAAACACGTTTTGACAATAAAGATACCCATCTGTTACACGTGAAAAATTATTATTATAATGAAAATTAAGCGCTAAACCCCAATGTGAAAAAAAAAAAGAATTTCCAAGCACTTTCATGATTATTCCCATTTTCAGGGAACTGACTAGATAAAAAAAAAACATACTAGAAGACTTTACTCAGATTAACTCAGAGGGGGTAATAAACCACTTTGATCCTCTCCCCCAGGATGAGACCCACAGCAGGTACCTAGCACCCAGGTAAGATAGGTGCTAGGTGAACACAGGCAACAGCTGTAAATTAACACGCCCAACGTTTCACTTGTCCTGAGATTGAACTCAGATCCTTCAGACCTGAGTTCGACCTCAGGACAAGTGGAAAATCTGAGTACTATTGTAATGGCTCAAGTGGAAGGCGCTACCACTTGAGTCATTAGAATGATGGTGTATTATTATAATCAATGGAAGCACTAAACCTGTAAGGATTATACATCTAGAAAGGGGTGGGGGGACAATCAGGGTTTGACTCAGGAAAGGGAGGCTCTAATTCCTTGGAACAAGAACCATTCACCAGTTTTATGGAAAGAAGCTGCAAATCCTGACTCGAAACTGATCAACCAAATTGCGAAATCAAGTGTCGTATTTATATTAACTAATGACATGTACATACACAAAAAAAAAAACATTAAAATTTTTGTAATAATGTTGGAAGAATTACCGACAATATGTAAAATAAAAGGACACAATAAAAATGTCACATTAGTTGCACTTGTGTCCTTTTACTTTCAATTAAAATTTTTACCAAAGGATATTCTTCGCCGTCTTGTTGTTGGGTTTGTAAGAGCCACTGACAGCTTACCTTGTATCCACCCTTCCTACTGTAATAATAATAATAATAATAATAATAATAATAATAATAATAATAATAATAATAATAATAATAATAATAATAATAATAATAATAATAATAATAATAATAATAATAACAATAATAATAATAATAATAATAATAATAATAATAATAATAATAATAATAATAATAATAATAAAAGTACATGTACAAGGTATACAGACCATAGCTGACATCAATGACATACTACTATATAGAAAGCCGCTTGTTATGCAGATTATTATTATTATTATAATCAAGGGGAAGCACTAAACCCGTAGGATTATACAGCGCCTATGGGGGGATGGAAGGCATTCAGGCTTAATTCAGGGAACTGGAGCACAGATCCAATTCCCTAGATCAAGAGCCCCTCACCAGCGTCAAGGAGCCTTCCTTGAGGGGTTGTTATGCAGAGCATTTCGAATGTTTCAACCCTTTCGCCGATAGTCGAACCCGGACACTCACCGTGTGAAGCGAGAGCTTTTGCCACCAGGCCACGGGGCAATATCTCTCCTGCCTGGTGGCTAAAGCTCTCGCTTCACACGGCGAGAGTCCGGGTTCTATCCCCGGCGAGGGTAGAAACACTGGACGTGTTTCCTTACACCGGTTGTCTGTGTTCACCCATCAGTAAAATGGGTACCTGGGTGTTAGTCGACTGATGTGGGTCGCATCCTGGGACAAAACTGACCTAATTTGCCCGAAGTGCTCTGCATAACAAGGGGATCGAGACAGCATACTCCGCCACTATTCAAGATTCTTAATTTACTCAATATACAAAACACCCACACTTTTTATTGTGCCTACTACATACATAGGACACTGCACTTTAATATAAACCCTCCTCTTAAACTTCGCCTTAACAGCTGCAACAGAACACACAACCATAATACAAGACACAGAACATTCCTTGATTCCCCTCGTGTCCATCTCTCCCTATGCCAAAACGCTATGCACATAAAAGGCCCTAAGATTTGGAATTCACTGTCAGAGAACACTAAAGGACCCTTGTCTGCAATTCAGTTCAAGACTCTTCTTAGAAATCATCTACTCACCCAAAACTAAACAGCTTCCAAGCTGCTTTCAAATTCATCTCCATTACCACATACTGAGCTAAGGATCACAGTGTCACTCACCTAAATCCCAAGACTTCAAAACTAGATGCTCAGAGTTCATTACATTACTTAATACTACATTGTAAAAAATCAGTACCTGCACAAAATTGTTCTGACTTATACTCAATTGTACCAATCTCATATTGTAAAGTTCTTTCAACATGTCCCATTGTAATATTCCCATATTGTAATTTAGCCATTTTACTGTTGATATATACAACCTGTATACTACTTTCAACTTGTCCCATTGTATTATTCCCATATTGTAATTTAAGTCAATTTATTGTTTGCTATATATAAAAACAGATGTACAACTTTAACAAACTATGATCTACTTGTCTAGTATTAAGTTAGTCTGTAACCCATTATATTTAGTCTGCCCGTAATGCCTAGGCATGATAGTGGCTCACTTTGCAATGCAAATCATTATTGTAATTATACACTGTAAACTATCTATGTAAATAAGACTCCCTACAACATGTCAATTCCACTGTCAACTTGCAAAGAAATAAATCTGATTTGATTCGATGATTTGATTTGATATCATTAATCTCAGCTAGGACTGTATACCTTGTACATGTACTTGTAGTAAATAAAGATATTATTATTATTATTATTATTATTATTATTATTATTATTATTATTATTATTATTATTATTATTATTATTATTATTATTATTATTATTATTATTATATTAAAGATGGACGATGAAAGAAAAGGGAATATGAGTCCTTCGTAAATATAAAAAGACGCTAGAAGCTCCCAAATAGACCAGGTGGACGCCCTTTGCCAAGCCCTAGCCGAGCGAGACCCCCGATGGAAATAAGTTACATTGTCTGTCTGACCTTTTTGGGTTATCCTGGGTAATCTACACATATGCTGCTATGTATGATAATTTATGTAACTGTATTTATGTGTACCTGTACCTGAATAAAATTACTTACTTACTTTAAGGACCCCAATGGAAATAAGTTAGACAGTCCTCGATGACGCACTGACTTTCTTGGGTTATCCTGGGTGGCTAACCCTCCGGGGTTAAAAATCCGAACGAAATCTTATCTTATCTTATCTTACTTCACCTGAGTTTAGTAACCGGCTTCCCAACAAAACCGTTAAAGAATTATCCGGAGAGGGGAAAAATGGAGCTGGCTAAAATTATTTTAGGTCGATGAAAGGTGCGACCAAAGTATACGAGGACAAGCGTCCCAGAGAGAACGATGGAAATTTGTCAGTGGAGCTAATGCGAGAGCGAGATGTCCACCCTCGACGAAGGCTGCTGCAGAAGTCCAGGGACAATATTACCCGTGGCCTTGTGGCTAAAGCTCTCGCTTCACACATCGAGGGTCTGGGTTCGACTTCCGGCGAGGGTAGAAACATTGGGCGTGTTTCCTTACACCGGTTGTCTATGTTCACCCATCAGTATAAAATGGGTGCCTGGGTGACTGGTGTGGGTGACATCCTGGGACAAAACTGACCTAATTTGCCCGAAATGCTCTGCATAACAAGCTGCTTTCTATACAGTAGTATGTCATTGATGTCAGCTAGGCTTGTATACCTTGTACATGTACTTGTAGAAATAAAGATATATTGTTATTATATTATATATTATACCCACCAGAAACCACAGTTTTCTACGTGTTTATGAGGGGATTTATAGGGCCACTGACAACTTACGCCGTACCGAACCCTGCTGCCAGGTGTCCTGGAAAGAATTTTCCCCCAAATTGGAAATACAATAAATTGACTTGCAGGGTTGTGTATCATATGTCCCCGATACACTCCGAGACTCGCAGAAAGGCGCATGTGTGGGTTAGGATTTCCTGGCGATCAATAGGGTGGGAACCACGATCGTCGAGGACCCTAATGGAAACAAGTCACTTTGTCTAGTTTTTTGGGGTTATCCTGGGTAATCTACACACATGCTGCCATGTATGATAATTTAAGTAACTCTGTATGTGTACCTGTACCTGAATGCGCTTACTTACCTACTAGTCGCTGTTGTTGAGGTTTTCAAGGGACACTGATAGCTTACGCTGTATCAAGCGCAGGTGTAGGTGTAGAGAGATAAGTAATATTGCCCAAAGGTGGTCGATGAAAGGAAAAGGAACATAGTTCCTTCTCAAATAAAAACGGGAACTAAAAAATCCCAATAATGTCAAGAGGACCCCTTTTGTCTAAGTCCTTTCAGAGCGGAACACCTACACCCCTGTTCAGCAGTCAGCTACCGTGAAATCTTTGCAGAGAAAATAGAGGAAGCTAATGGATAGTACCCTGGCCATTAATGTGCCTAGGGGGCAGGATAAGATATAAAGCGTCCAGGAGAGAATATGGAAAATTTGTTACATGCTCAGGCGAGAGTAAGACATCTGTACTCCACCAAGGCTATCACAGAAGTCGCTGGAGACCTGGGGTCCTTTGCTAAGTAATGACGGGGGAGAGGGAGGGTAGGGGAAAAAATATTACAAAGATATGACTGATAATTGAGAAGGAAATAAGGACTCCCATCGGAAAAAAAATGGAAACAGATGTTTACAATTAGGTCAGATTAATCCCAATAAAAATATTATTTTATTTCAATAGATTATTTTGGGTTAACTCTATATGATGTACTATTTTGCGCGCCCATAATATGTACGCCCTTAAGATGATTGTAAAAAAATATATTTATATGTAATGCCCAACTAAAAATTAATTTACTTTAGCCTAAAGCTGTCAGTCACTTGCTCATCACCCTGCCTGAGTCAGTGACCGACTTCCTATAAAAACCGTCGAAAATCCGGTGAGGAGATGATACACTCATCTATTTCTGATCGCAGGATCACTTTTCAGCTCCTAACCCAGCCTCTTAACTTGCCATGTGCCAGATTCACTCCCTCGTAGGTTCTATCGTACCTGTTCTTAAAGCTATGTATGGAGCCTGTCTGCCAC